ACACCATTTCAATCAAAGACAATACATGCATTGTCATATTTGAAGTTGTTTTATGTAGACAGTGTTTTATTGCACAGTGATTTAACAGAGGAAACCATAACCTATATTTACATACATGCAAAAATGGTCTGTACAAGACAAAATTTTAATACTAAACAAAGCAAAAAAAAAACACTGGGACACTAGTGTTGCATTTGTTAAAAAAAGGTATTGCTCTTATACTAAACATCATGCACTTGTAAGTCCTTTCTAGTGTGTTTGGAAAATGTGGTGTATACAATGCTGGACATTGAAGACAAATTTAAACATTTAAACTATATTAGTAATAGTAATATTGATATTCTGAAATGTTTAATGCTATTTAAATGATAGTTTTAGTATTTACAATATTAGTAAAAGTTTAACGTTTCTCCTCAAATAAAACTGAAGACATCTTAAGACAAAGCTGATATCGCAATGAGACATATAAGAGAATCAGCCCTTAGTATCCTGAGCGCAGAGTAAACTCTGTCAGAGTCATAGCCTTGTGGACAGCACATTGATATGAAGGCACAACAGCACTTCAGACAGCATGGGTTCGAATCCCAGCTAAAGGTACTTTCCTGCTCCTGTTCAATTCTCACCTGTCCAACTGTTTCCTGTCTCTGATTTTTATAATGTAGTCTTGCAAGAGATTACAGCAAGACAATAAAGAGATCTCCAATGTTTCTCACACGTTTCTCTCTCATTGTCATTTTGGATTCCTTTCTTTCAGAACTTTCTCATGTCTCAGTTGTGTCTACTTTTATTTCTCCTAAGGATTTTTAGGAGAAACATCTCAGACACTGTTGAGACTAAAATGAGAAATACTTGAGAATCACAAGTAAGTCTCCTGAGGTTAGAAAGAGCAAACTCGGAGCAATAAAATATTCCTATAATGGAGTCTTGATAGAGATTGCAGCAAGACAATAAAGAGATATTCTATGTTTCTTCCACCACATTCTCTGTTTTGACTCTTTTTTTCTCAAATATTTATCATGTCTCATTTATGTCTACTTCTATTTCTCCTAAGGAATTTTAGGAGAAATATCTGAAATGCTGTTGATACTAAAATGAGAGATATATGAGAATCTCATCTAAGTCTCCTGAGCTTAGGAAAAGCAACCACTGAGCAATACATTTTTCCTATGGGCATGCCTTTTCATCACTAATTTTTCACAGCGTGTCCTTAATAAATCCTGACAGTAGTTTTTTAACTACAAAAGTGGGTTTGTGCTGGTACAAGCTGTTAGTAAATCAGGTCCATATACACTTTTCAAAATTACACTCTGTCTCTGCTGTGGATAATGAAACAAAAATATTGATGACATCATTGTGAACTCAGGGGTGTATACACGTTTTTTTGTCCAATCAAATGCTCTCTAGATTAAAAAAGCCATTTAAATGTTTGGGTTTGCTAAGAATTTGTAATGTTTTTGAAATAACTCTCTTCTTTAATATTGTTAAATATTATAACAATCGAAAATAACTGTTTTATATTTCAATTTATTTTAAAATGCAATTTATTTCTGTGATGCAAAGCTGAATTTTCAGCATCATTACTCCAGTCTTCAGAGTCACATGATCCTTAAGAAATCATTCTGATATGCTGATTTGCTGCTCAAGAAACATTTATTATTATTATCAGTCTTGAAAACATTTGTGCTGCTTTATATTTTTTGTGGAAACCGTGATACATTTCTTTTTGGGATTCTTTGATGAATAGATTTTTTCTTGAAATAGAAATCGTTTGTATCATTATAAATTTCTTTAATATCACTTTTGATCAATTTAATGCAGTCTTGCTGAGAGAAAGTATTCATTTCATTTATTCATTCAAAAAAATAAAAATAATTAATGGTAGTGTATGTCCTGCAGCAACTTCCTGATTCAATAGGAAATATGACGACGCAAAAACAAAGTCTTTTCATTGGAAATAACATAGTGAACAGACATTTTGGAGTTCAGTCAATGATGCTGACATGCAGAGCCTTGGTTTTGGATATTTAGTTCATCATGAGACACTGCTGAGACGTCAGGTGATTTCAGATCACACGTTAACTCCTGTAACTCCATTCGTGACTCTGAATGACAGACACTGCATGAACGAAACCAAATACCATCTTTCGACCTGTCCCAGTAAAGCAGCCTTTACAGCCTGATGTATCATGGAAATTCCAAGCCTGGGACTTATAGAACAGGAAACATTGGGATTTATAATTGAATCTTTATATTTTCAAAGCCTTTAGAGAAGGGGTATGGGGGCTGCTTCTGATGTCTTTCTGCACCTGAAAAGTTGAGATTATGTGAAGCAGATAATGGGGTGCGCAGATGTAGTTGCCCTCCTTGGAATTCCTCCTGCTTCTCGGATTTCACCACCATGTCAATGTACCCCAGTGTAGACACACGCAGCACCGTCCATCCAACTGCCCCTCACCTCACCTAAAATTACACCACCGTTTTAACATGAGCAGTACATCATTTCAGAAGTTAGGTAATTTTTTATTATTCAGATGTGATGTAATTCAAAAGAAACAGGCTGGTAATTAGTTTGACCTGAAATTTTTACTGATATTAACCTTTTTTTTTTTTTTTTCATAATGGCACCAATAATGACATTACATTAACCCTGTAAAGCCTGGCATATACAATAATAGACTGAAAAATCTGATATTTATACAGTATGATGAAATTCTGATACTTGTACTTTAAATCGGTGGGTTCTTTATCACAGACTGCTTACATAAACTCCATATAAATATCAGCTGTCACTCTATATCTCCCAATAATGTCTTAGTAAAGTAATATTTAAATGTATAGTTTTATGTTCAAATATCTGTAGTTTCAAAAAATAATGCAAGGCAATGATGATGAGAGATGAGCGTTCATCGAAATCCAGATCTGATACTCACGTTTTAACATGATTTTTTTCCTAAAAAAAATATGTCTGGATAATCAAGTAAAGTTGCTTCAGTCCAGTAAGTGTTTATCTCAAAATATTACTTACAGTATAAAATATATTCTTATGTTTACTTTATAAAAATCAGTAAAGATTTCACAGCAAAAAGACGTGAACGATGACCTGAAGAGGGACGTGTTTACAATTACAGTATATTAAAAGGTCTTTACTTAGTAAAAAAAGTGCAAACTATCAATCAGACGACAGAAGTCATGCATTAGATTGTGTACAACAATTATTTCCAGCAATTTTTTGATAATTTTGATCATTTAGAGGCCTAAGCTTAACAGTTAGACATAGCATGTAAAAGCATGCATTATGTAAAATAGTTTTTTTTACAATTTAGATTCAAAATCAAATTTGCATGTATAAATATTTTGAATACATTTGTAATTATTTGGGGGCCTAACTAAACTTAATCTTACATGCCACCCCACACACATGCCACAATATTAAATTATCTAACAATAAACCAAAAAGTTTCTTAAAAAGAACAATGCTAGAATAGATTTTAGGCTTGCAAATGTAGCCCAAAAGTCACTCAGCACAGGAAACCTAGTTTGGAACTGAATGCAAGTTTGTAGACGTCGGTAAACTTTTATTTACCAAAGATTAAGGGAAATAAAAAATATATTTGTTTGATGACTTGATGAATGCAGTCAACAAAGCAATGACATTTTGTTCTCATTGTCAAGTCAAGTCAAGTCAAGTTTATTTGTACAGCGCTTTTCACGATACAAATCATTGCAAAGCAACTTTACAGCAAATTAAGTTTCTACAATATTTAGTGGTAGCTTATCAGTGGTGACTGTCAGTTAATGTACATATGGCAGAAATGTACGGAAAAATCAATTTAAGACGTAATAAAACAGACGATGAACACTATTAACAGCAATTATTATATGATGCAAACAAACTTATAGCAAAATTTGGCAGTTCTGTATGTCATAGGTCATTGTCTCGTTAGTTTCCTTTTCCCTTTTATTTTGAGAGAAACATCTC